ACCCTAGAAGGGCCTAGGACAGCTAGAAATAGTAGCTATTACTTAAGCAACTAGAATAAAGGTCTTAGGTACTGCTAGAATAGCAAATAAAACCTAAAGCCTAGAAAGCTTTTTAATAAGAGTAATTATAAAGGGGCTTAAAGAAGATCTGCACGCTAAAGGTGTAAAAAAGGCCTAAGAAAAGAATGTAAAGGACTAACTAAACTAGGTAGGTAAGTAGTTAAAAAAAAAGAAAAGACTTCTTACTTATAAAAAAAAGACTTATATACTTAGAAGAGTAAAAATTTAAGCTTTTTAAGCCTACTATAACTATTTTTTAGTAGGCTATTTTAGATTTAGCAAAACTTTTTATTAAGTATAAAGGGACTTTTATTAGCTAGGCATACAGCAATACACTAAAGACTACCTTAGCACATGCTAGGCCTGCTAACGCGCGAAATCCCCTTAACATGCCCTGTATAGAGAACTCTAGCCCCTCCTAGTCCCCTCTAGGATCTAGGAGGATATCTCTATAGATTTTATTACAGAGCTACTACCTAGCTAGTTAAATAAAAGGAGCTATAATAGTATTCTAGTTATAGTTAATTATTTCTTTAAAATAGCTTACTATATTTTTAGTAAAGGCACTTTAAAGGCAGTAGCCTTAGCTAAGACTTTTAAGCAAAAAATCTTAAAACTCTATAGCCCCCCCTTTTTTATTATAACAGACTAAGAAGCCTTATTTATGTCTACTTATTAAAAGATGTTTATAGCTTACTTAGAAATAAAAAGACTTTTTTTTACTACTTTTTACCTATAAACTAATAGCTAGACTAAGCGCTAAAACTAAATATTAAAGCAGTATCTCTAAATATACTGCAACTATAAGTAGGATAACTAGGCAGAGATTCTCTCTAATATAAAATATGCCTACAACAACGCTGTCTATAGCTTTATAGGGATATTACTATTCTAGGCTGTCTATAGGAAGGATCTGCTGTCTATAGACATGCTAAAATAAGTAAAAAAAGCTAGTATTTCTTTATAAGCACTCTAAAACAGTAATAAACTAGCCTAAACTAGGCAAAAGCTAGCTAAACACCTTAAAACAGCATAAAAGTACTAGAAGCAATAGCATAATAAAACACATAAACATAAAATATACTTAGTAGAAAACTAAGTATACTTTAGCACTAAGAACATTACTACTTTCTAGCTAAAAAAGAAGCTAGATAATAAATATATAAGCTTTTAAAAAGTTTTTGCTATACATAGAACTTAATTTTACTACCTAGACTTACTAGCTAGCTTTTAGATCTACCTAGTATTTTATATTAGCCTTTTTAAGCTAGCACCTTTAAGTTACTTGTTACCTTGCAAACAACCTCTAGCTAAGGTAGTAATACTCTAAGCAGGAACAAATATATAGGACATAGACTACATTATAGACTAAAAGCTGCATAAGGGAATATAGCTATACAGAGTACACTAAAAAGGGTTTAGGGAGAAAAATAACTAACTACTTCTAGCAAAAAACATATCTAAGGGGGCTATAAATAAATTCTAGAGATAAGTAAGACTACTAGTACAAAAGAAAATAAAAAGAGAGAAGGGAAAGCTAAATTAGGCTAAAAAAGACTAGACTAAAAAAAATAAACTTAGACTAGATAACTTTATAAAAGCTTAGAATATTTAAAAAAAAAAAAACCTTTAAGCACTATAAACTTAAAAAACTTAGCCTATTTTTTACTGTCCCTATTTTTAAATACTACTAGATTAGTCTAGATTACCCCTAAACTAGCCTAAATACCTCTAAAAAAAAAGACAGATGCACTATAAAGCCTAAACTTTACTAAAGAAACCTAAAAAAAAAGTAAGCTACTAAAAAAAATATAAAAAAAGTATAAAGCGCTATAACTATTTTTAAAGAAGCTACTACTATGTAAAAATAGACTAAACTATTCTAGAGAAGAAGAGAATAGTAGGTAGAAACCTAGAAAAGGCAAAACCTATCCTAGAGGGCCTAGACAGGCCTAGAGACCCCTAGATCTACTAGACTAATGTAAAAAAAAAAAAAATGCTAAAAAGACTAAAAATAAAAGTAGACAACCTACTTTATCTCTAAAAAATGTTTTGCTTAGAGTTAAAAGTGTTAAAATTATAAGTAAAGTTAGTTTTCTACATACTTTACTTACTTTTATAAAATTCTTTAGTAAAGAAGAGGACCTAAGCCTAAAAAACACTAAAATTAGCAGTAAAAGGCTAAGTACCCTAGATAAGGTTAGACTACTCTAGAAGAGCCTAGATAGGTACAAGTTAGAGAACATATAGTGTAGACACACTTAAAGACTAGAGAAAGAGGTCTTAAGCTATTATTATTACTTATTTTTTTTTTACGCTTTACTAATGCTCTTTTTTTTGCCTTACTAAGACTAATAATACCTAAGTCCTTAAACACCTTCTTACTAACATAAAAAAGGGTTAAGGCGTTACTAGCTATCTTACTGTAGACAAGCCTAGCAAGAATTAGTCTAAAAACTTTTAAAAAGCTCTAAAGACTTTTAAAGAAACTTAGAAGAGTTTAGAAAGTAGCTAAAAATTATAAACTTATTAAGATAAATAATAACTTTATTAACCTTTTTACAAAGACCCTTAATAATATTTAGTAGGTACTTTTAAGTATTACTAAGGTTAATTTAGGTCTTAAGCTAAAAAAAACTACTAAAGATAGTGCTTATAATAGTTATAATTACTAGGTAACAGTCCTCTAAGCACTACAACCTAAAAATTAGTAAAAAAAACTAAGAAGCACCTTAGGGACTCCTAGACAGCTATAAACAGCCCTAGGATAACCTACTTAATAGCAGTCTCTGCTACCCTTATAGCAGCTATTACACTTTAAGAGGTTATTAGTGCGCTTAGGCTTTAATAAGCCTTAATAGATGTAGGTATTACAAGTCTAAACATTATAATCCTCCTTAACAAGAAAATAGTATAGTAGAATTACGCCTAGCTTATGCGCTATAATCCTGCCTATAATTTTATTAAGGTAAGTTAAGCAGAGATTAACAGTAGCTAAGGCTTTATTTACAGCTAAGGTAATCCTGTCTAACTACTTACTAGCTAAGAAAGACATTATTAGTAGTAAAATATGCAAGACAGGGCTTAGGGGGCCTAAGGGGGCCTAGATTAGAATAGACAGGACTAGAGGCCTTAAAAATAGAATAAGGGATAGCTAGCTAGAGTAGCTAGCTAAGGAAGAATCTAAAGGCAGTTAAAATAAGAACTCTCTAGGACAGATAGAGCTTTATATAGGGTCCTCTAGCCTAGGGGGGCCCTAAAACACCCTAGGAACCCCTAAAAAGGCCTAGGGGCTCCTACAGAAAATCTTTCTAAAATACATACTAAAAGCGCAGAGTAGAGTGTAGGTGTAATAGAAGATTTAGCTTAGTAAAAAGTATTTAACTCTTTAAATTAAATTTAGAGTAACATAAAATTACATAACTTCTAAACCTTAAAAAAGGGCTTAGATTTAGGCGTAAAGTTGCGCCTTAGAAAAAAATAAGGCTTTATAATAACTAGCTATCTAGGTGTTTTCTAGGCTGTTGTAGACTAGCCTAGACTGCACTAGGCAGTCCTAGATAACTCCTAAACTGTGCTGTTAACTCTGCACTTCCTAGATAATGCCTACCTTGCCTAAAAAGCTAGGCATCCTAGACAGGTAATACTTTGAACTGGACCTACAGCATACTAGATCTGTCGCTACCAGCGCTGCCGTGCCTGGCTCTCTAGAGAAGTATATAGCCAGTTGTAGAAGCCCTCTTTAGATAGCAGAGGATTGCCTTAGGAATTAGGCAGGTACTAATTGTACTCCTATGTCACAGTCACGCCCTTGTTGGTCAATACACCTCTTAATTGCGAAGTGTATACCCTGTTTTTTACAGTAACAACACTCTACTAAAACTTCTTATACTATAAACACTATAATTATTAAAGACTTTAAGTAATACTTTTGAATTTATATCTTAATAAAAGCTTATATAAGATTGTTTTTAGTTTATTACTTATAGAAACCTAAAGTAGCTGTATATAGCTTATTAAAAAAGCTAAATTAACACTACACTAAAATACACTTATAAACTTCTAGATTACTAAACTTAAAAAGTAAGTAAAAATAATAGCTAAGTGTCGCGTACAGCTATCTGTCTATATATATCCTTCTGCTGTGCTAGCTAGAAGGTTGACCTTTTAGCAAACGCAACACTAAGTAAAAATTATATAATTTTTTAATTTAACATAGTAGAATAATAAAGTATAGTAAGAGATTAGCATAGAATGCTGCTAAGGCTACTAAGGCTACTAAAGCTTTTTAAAGATTAAAAAAAGCTTACCTAAGTGTATAACACTATAAAAGCTATAAAAAGACTAGGTATAATGTTTAAACATGTAATAGGAATATAAAAGAGTTTTTTAAATCTAATAGAAGTATAATATACGCTAGCTTTTTATTTAATAGCTATTAATCTAGTCTGCTAGAACATAGGTTAGTTATACAAAGAAGTAACTAGCTTAGTAATCTACTACGTTACTATTTATAAAGTAAATATTATAAATTAAAAAAAAATTATTATTTAATTAATTAATGTAGGTTTGTAGAGAAAAATGTAATTTAAGTAAAAAATGTTATTAGAGTAGTGTCACAGTTATGTTACAACTATCCAACCCCTGAGTACCCTGGGCTTGGCACGGGGTATATAGGCTCCTCGGCCTCCGTACCTCTGTCTCCGACCCTAAGGTTTACTCTCGTTACATCCCCCTATCCTGGATTCTCTCTCTGTGCCTCGTGCTTCCTGCTCGATACCTCTCACAAGTAGACTGTTTGCTTGTGTAGACTGCTTACTTGTAAAATACGTTATAAAGTTATACTTTTAACTAACCTTAATTCTATTAGGTAAGCCTCAACTTTTTAGAGTTATATTTTTATGATAGTTATTTTTTATTGGAGTGCCTGTGTACTTAGAATGCGAGCGCTCCGATTGGCTGCATCCAAAGAAGACGCCGTCTTCTTGCGCGTAATCGTAGCTAGGCACAGTAACGCACAGCAACGCACTGTAAGGCACAGCAATGCACTGTAAGGCCTAACAAGGCATTGTAAAGCGCATCGAGGCAGTTTAAGGCACAGCAAGGCATCTGCTATTAAGGAATTGCGCCTTCTAACCAGACGTATTACCGTATAGATCGCGTCTAACTATCAGTTGAAAGCAAAATGAGCCTGATAAGCCTTCCACTAGAGCTCTTCCAGGCCACCATAACGGAGACTGTCTGGCTTGTGGGTCTTCGCCAGGCTGTAAATTTGAGGCTGGTCTGCAGTACGTCCTTTGGAGAGCTGCAAATTTGGTAAAGCTGATCGTGCAAAGAGCTGTTTGATACCGAAGCAAAGCGCGCTATATGTGCACTTCCAACATTCGATACCGCCTACAGACATTCACTACCGGACGGGCTTCAGTTGCCGCAAAAGATGGATCTAGCGATGACGACAACGCTCATATTGACCAAAATGAACGCCAAAGATGCCGCAAAAAGGCCTCTCTGCCTTGCCATTACTCGCGCAGTGGACCATCTCGAAGACGAATTTGGGCAGAAAAAAGCCGGCCTGCGGCTCGAATTCATTGAGGCGCTAGCGAGAGCATCGGTGCATGCTTTACCACTCTGCGAGATAACCGACTGCCTTGTCACAAACCCCACTGTACAGATTGACAATCTGTGGTGGAGCCGTGAAAATGAGCCCTGGAGATTTCACACTTTCCGCCGCAAGCATCCAGGGGTTGAGCCATTAAGACATCCTATTGAATATCTCGCACCGAGTTCAGATAAATATGCCGACACTACACGCGAAGGCGCGCTCATTGCCGCACTATCCACGAAACGTTTTCAATTAGCAAGACGACTACTTGAAAGTGGTGTGAATGGCATAACGACAAGCTATGCTTTCGGCGTGCCCTTAAAAGTTGCGGCACTTACTGGGGCTCAGGAGATCGTGCGGATGATCCTAGACAGAGTTTTGGGGCAGAGAAAGGAAGACGATCTCGAAGCACCTGACATCATTGAAAGTGCCAGGCAATGTGTCTTGCAAGGAGCAGCAGCAAACGGCCATGTGCATATTCTGCGAATGATCTGGGAGGTGCCGGAGTACAATTGGGAGAGTTTAGGCACAGGGCTCACTCGTTCTATCAAGTTAGCCGTCGAAAATGGCCACGAAGGTATTGCATCGTTTCTGTTGCAGCATCGCACCCCTATTCCACTAAGGGAATCTGCGCAACACGACTCAAGACAAGCCCTGGAAAGACGAGAGTTGAAGTTCTGGCGCAATCTTACGACAACAGCTACACGACTTGATTGCGAAAACATCTTGAGAATTGCTTTAGAGCATTTCCCTTACGAGAACGATGAATGGATTTCGCACGAGCTAAAAAAAGGCGCTTGATCAGGGACAAGCACATGTTGCCAAGATCCTGGCGTCGAAATGTTCTCGAACCATTACCGTAATATTCGGACAGTCTTATAGTCAAATTCGGCTTTATCAGGCCGCTCGATCAGGCAACACTACTCTAGTGGACTTGTTGCTTGACCATGGAGCAGTTATCAATTCTGGAAAATGAGACAGGCTAATGCATCCCTTGTGTGGAGCAGCGCTCAAAGGATGGGTCAAGACCGTAGGTTATCGTATAGGAAAAGGCGCGGATATCTACTTCGATTATTGCGGCTCGCAAGCTTTGGCACTCGCTGCTTCGCACGGTTTCACAGGTGTGGTACAAATACTATTAGAAGCAGGTGCTAATGCGCAATTAGCGCTTCGGGGGGAAGCTAGTGGGAGTTCGATACCTCGATTTGAGAAAGCGAAGTCGGACTTTCCTGACGTTGTGAAAATATTGCAAGGGCATATTTCTGGGGACTTTCCCAAGACGGACGGCACAATCACAGGTGGAATGCCGCTCGAGCCGAGATAACTCGGATGGCAGAATTAAGTATAGGATTGCATTTTCTTTAGGACGAAAGACTAGTACCAAGAAGAGAGATGAAAAAACTCACGTGTGCAAAAGTTGGGTCACGGCACGTCTCAAACCAACTCTTTGTGCCACATCGTCACGGATTTAATTCTTTACCACCAAAATTCTCTCCAGAGAACCAAAATGGGGCAATATTAATCTCCGTCCAGCCAGCCCGTTTAGGGACACTGGTGGTCTTATTACGTACCCGGAGTCACGGACTGGGGGAGCCCTCTGAACTTAGCTCCTGGCTCCAATGTTGAACACCATATATCCCTTAAAAGAGCCGTCAAAGATAGTCTCTCTTGCAATCTGAATGTTCAGGATGTTCAAATCTCCAAAGGCCTGGTGGTAATCGGTGAGCATAAATGCTGCCCACTTGGCATTGCCGCTGTATATCATTTCGTCGAACTCTTGGGTGCCTTGATCGAGCTGGGCCCATTCTTTGTCTCCCTTTTGCATAACTTTTAATCGGTTGTTGATTTTTGCTAGAGTTTCTTCATTGACGATGTCCGCAATGGCGACTTGCTTCAGTTCTCCGACAGAATTTCCTTTGTCCTCCTTCCACAGCTGGAATGCATTTTCTGAGAAGGCTTCCTTTACCTCGTCCGAATCCAGCTTTATTTGACTGTTGACACCGACCACGCCGCCGTCCAGGTCATGGTAGTTCTCCAACATTGGCTCGTCGTAACGATAGTGACCAGATCCTACAGACATATCGGAATCTGGTGACGCCGGATCATATCTGAAGTTAAGTCTTTCTTGTCCATGACTGCTGGCTCCTATTTTTCTTTTCGAACATCAATGCACTGCTTTCCAAATAAGTCTTTGATCTTGCTGTCTGATAGTGGGAAAGCAACGCTTTGTCCAGCTCTGTCTGTATCTCATTTGTAGTTGTCCGTGTATGGAGACTTGACCGCATCCTGATCGTTCCTGGGGATGGCGCCAAGCAGGTTGTTATAAAGCTCTTCACCATTTGAGGGCTCGTCTACAGTCGCAGGAGCATTGTTCTGCCCGGCCCGGAGCAGGGCCCTCATGTCCGGACGGCCCAGGACTACCAGGGTTCTCAGGAACAAGTGGCCCTGGCCCTTCAGGCTCTTCGGGTGCCGTCAACCCATGATGGAGCATCAGAGCTGCGACTGCTAAGATGATGCATGGTGCTACAGCCTTCATGTTCGGGAGATGTCCTAACGAGACCAAAGAGCAAAGTATGTCGATATTAAGGGTGAGATATTGGACGAGTAGACTGGAATGTCTGAGAGTTGGAAACTGATGCCTTCTGGAGGACACTGCGATCTTTTAAGTCCCTCTTCAGACGCCTTCCGAAATGAATATCTGTCCTTAACATGTGTATAGGTTGCAGAGTAAGCCCTGGAGAGCATAGATGTCCAGATACCCAGATTGATGGTAACTAACGCGTACGTAGCAGCCTCCGGGCCATGAGGATTCGCAACGCCTCGAGTCGGAAGAGGAGAATCATGAAACAGATACAGGGACAAATGAATCAGTGTTCAGCACTTCCGAAGGATTAATTTGAACCAAAAGGTTACAAGATATGCGAGAATTTGGATTCAAATTAGACAGTAGGGACTAGGTTGCGGATTTCAGTCTGTTCCTTGTGCTTTTGCCTCTCCGCGTCCGCTGAAATTGACATTAATATCGGATCCTGCGGCAATTTTTCGAAAGAGTCAGCTTCGCCATTGACGACGCTTCTGTAGTTTACACTTCCTTTTCCTCAGTTACACATAGCATAACCGAGAACAAGACATGGTGCCTAACAGAACGCACTACGAGTCAACTTTTCACTACGACACAGTCACGTGAGCCGTACAAAAGTAGTAACTTTATGACTTGTTACGTACAATAGGTGAGGTTTAAAAGTGTAGCTGTAATACAATTAGAATACACTTTTTAGAGTAATAGTTATTGTTTAGAGCTAACGTAATTAGAGGGTAGAAGAGGGCGTGTTCTGTACGCGTTAGCTGCTTTACAATAAGCAGAGACTTGTGTATTACTTTACATAATATAGGTACAAATTTTATCATGTAGGCTTACTTTAATTTTTACTACTATTCTATCTTTTTTAATTTCTATTAATATAAGTTTATTAAACTTTCTTTAAGCTAGCTGCTTATAGTATAACACTTTTTAAACTTTAAGCACTTCTATATTTTATTACACTAGCTTTTATCACTTTAAAAAGTTGTGATTTTTATTATTTCTATTACTTTAATATTCTTAACAAAGCTTTTATTTGCTAAGTGTTATTTATAATATCTAATTATAAAAGTTTTTTTAGATTATTATTTTAACTTTAGCTTAACGTCTCTTATAGGCGTGCTAGCTACTTTGCTAAGACTCTACTAAAACTATCTTAATATTATAATACTTTAATAATAATACTAATTAGAATCTTAAAAAGAAGCTAGAGTTTTTAAAGTAATTTATAAAGAATATTAAAGCTAAGTATAGTATCTAGAATAATAACACATATAACTTTAATAAAATAAGCTTTATAATAGGCTAGATATCTACTAAATATACTTATACTTAAACTTTACTTTAAGCTTTAGAGAATACTTTGTAAATATACTAAGCTAGTTTATGCTAATATAGCCTAGATGTTACGGTCTACGGTTGGACCAGCGTAACTCCACCCAGGATGCTCCACAATATGGTACGGTTGGAGCGGAACTCGCTTATAGACCAAACAGAGGACGCGGAAGTCGCGCGGCTACCCGAGATCATGGAAGAATGCGTTGTCTAATAGGAGGACAGGATGTAAATTCTATAAGTCTAAGAGAGCTTAGCAAGCCCTGCTTAGCAAGCTTTAGTAAGCTTATCTAGCTTACCTTAGTGTCCCCTGCACATGTATATAGTTCCTACATTAAACAACCTTTAGAAGGTGTGTTTAATGTTTAGTTTATTCTTTACATAGACTAAGTAGCATTTAGCTTTTTAAAAAGCTGTAATACTATTTATATATCTGCACTATATATACTTCTAATCCTGTCTAACAGGACTGTTTAACCCTAGCCTTTCTACTGCTGTATATAGGGTAAACTATAATCTAGTTATTCTCTTCTCCCTCTATTAGCCTAATAGCCTGTACGTAGGACTGTACACCCTACTAAATTAGCCCCTACTTTCTGTTCTACTTTCTACCTAGGAATATTACTAGACCTAAGTGCTTTCTAAAGTAAAAATTATAACATTAAACACTACTCTTTTTAAAAAGTATAGTAACCTTATAACACAACTTAGATTCTAATATAGCCTATGCTGCGCTATTAGAATCTACAAAAGTTCCTACCTAAAGCAAAGCTGTTCTAGCAGAACAGATTAACTTAATCTAGGATAACATTAAAAAACTCTAGCAGATTAGTAACAAGGTTAGTAAATTATTAAAACTTAAGTAAAAAATAGCTAACCTCTGCTAAAAAAACATAAATTTATAAAACCCCCTACCTCTTACTAACTCTTATAAGGACACTGCCTAAGCCTGCTAAATACATAAGTTATAAGTAGAACTAGTAAAAGTTTAAAATATTTTAATAAATAAAGTAAGTGTTACAGCTAAGAAAGCTTTAAAACTAGCTCTTTTAAAGCTTTTTAAAAAATTATTAAAAGACCTTTAACTCTTTTTTACTAGATGCTACCTTTATATGTAATATAATAAAAGAGCATTTTAGACTAACGCAGAAATAATCTCCTAGATAAGACTACACTTAGAAAGCCCCCCTACAATCTAGTTCTAACCCTACACTAATAATTAGATAGACTTTAGAGTAAATAGCGCACTACTTAACCCTAAAACTAAAGAAGTATTTAGTAGCGTTAAAAACTTTAAATTAGCTCTAACAGCTATCTACAGAACCTTAGATAAAAAAAAGATTGCAGCTAACAGACTAAATAACATAAAACAAAGCAGTAGGCTAGTCTAAAACTATGCAGCACACTTTAGAGAACAAATAGCTATTTACAGATAAAATAACTAAAAAGCCCTATGCTGCATGTTTTATAATAGACTAAATAACAAAGTAAAAGATAAGTTTATACACATAAACTAACTAACTACTCTTAAAGACTATATTAAGAAAGTAACAACTTATAACAACTGCTATAAAGAATAAAAAAAAAAAAGAAATTAAAAAAAACCTTCTAAAAGCTAAAATTTATCTCTAAAAAAAAAAAGCTTTTATAATATAATAAAAAACCTATAAACCTTAGTTATATAAAGCACATATAAAGCCCCCCTTCTAAAAAAAGCTAAGTTCTAAAACATAATAAGCTACCTTTAATAAAGAAATAATAAAAGTAGCTAGAAAATAAGGCCTACCTAAACTATAAAAAAGTAAAACACTTTTACTAAAACTACCTAAACTTTTAAAAGAGGGAGAATAAAAATACTACTATAATAATAAAAGCTATTACTGCTAAATACAGCCTTATAGATAAGGAAATATAAAAAAAACTAGATAACAGACTTTACTAGTAATATAAAAAAAACTACTCTTTAAACAACTGCTCTAAACTATATTAAAAGGTAGTTATTTAAAATTTTAATAGCTTTAATATAGTGTTATAAAATCTTATAATTTTTAAAAGATATAGAGAAGAAACTTAGATTTAAGAATATATTATAAATGTTTAGAAAAAAAAAAGAATGTTTTCCCCTCTAAAACTAGACCTCTAGTACTTTAGTAAAGGAGCTTTCCTAATAGTTTTAGAGATGTAAGTGCTAGAAGTGCAGGTTACTACATAACTACCTAAGCAATTATATAGTCTTACTTTACTAAATAAATATTAGCAACAACTACTTAGCATTTAACATTATATAAAAAATAGCTAAAGTTAAATATAACATTATAAATAAAAAAAAGTAATAGCAGTTTTTTACTAAAATTAGGGATTAAAAGCTAGAATAGCTAGGTAAACCTACTAAGTTTAAAGTACTATAACTAGCGCCTAAGAAACCTAAGACACTACTCCTAAGCTTAGCAATCTCTAGAAAAGCTCTTACAGTACAACAAAATTACAGATAATGTGTCCTCTGCAAAAGCAGCACTTACAGCACAAGCAAGTGCTAATAAAAAGAACACCTTATACAGTTAGTACAAACAAAAGAATACCCTTAGTAGACTTAAAAGAGTCCCCTTAACACGTTACATAGACCTAACAATTGTCTATACCCCTAGTATTAGTGTACACAACAATACTATGTTAAACACTAGGACAACAACATTAAGCAGAATAGTAGCCTATATAGAAGAAGAACTATAACAGTTGCCTATAGTAAAAAACAGCCTTAGCCTACAAAACTATAAATTATTACACCTGTTAGACAGCCCCCCCTTATAAACAAAAACTATAGATAAAATGTAATAAGTAAGAAAACTATAAGTTCTACTATTTCTAGTAAAAAGTAGTAAAAAAAAAAGACTACCTAACATTACATTACTTAGTTAAGGACTATAAATATAAGGTAACTAACTGCTGCAACTAAGAACACTAAATCTATAAAAAAAAAAAAAATAAATTTAATAATAACTTATAAGATATTAACTTTTATCCCCTTTCTAATAAAGAAGTTAAACATAATATATTAGTAGTAATTATAGTAGAATAAGAGGCAGGATATAGCTTAACAACTACTTTTATGTATAAAGGACGTCCTAGACTAGCTCTTATAGATAGTAGATGCACTTTTACTATAA